TGCAATATAACAAAGAGTGAAAAATTGAAGGGGGTCTGAATACTTTCCGTACCCACTGTATATATATATATATATTTTTTTTTACATTAGAAAATCAAGACTTAACGTTTTACATTTTAGAAGCATGAAAATCCAAAAGGTTATTTAAAATGGGAATGAATTATATACAGAAAAATGTGAGCATAGAATGTTCCCCATCACTGAAGCGGCCCATGACAATGAAAAACACTGCAAAATTTATCTCTTACTTACACTGTATCTGTACTTTGACAGAAGCTCAACAGAAATGTCTGCGATTGGTTGTAATGCTTAATGCTGCAAAACATCTGAATGCATCACAAACTGATATAAATGTGATGCCACTATTGACAGTATTTATTCATTCTCACATTTCACTTTAATCGTGACAGCCACAATAACTAAAATTTAGTTTAACTGTGCAGGGGCATGTTTTGCCCCCTTTTCTTGAATTTGGGGGGCATTTTTGTTCGTTTTGGTGCCTTTTTTTGCCCCAAGCCACCATTAATGTTTGACCTTACTGCACATACAGGTGCATCTCAATAAATTAGAATGTCGTGGAAAAGTTCATTTATTTCAGTAATTCAACTCAAATTGTGAAACTCGTGTATTAAATAAATTCAGTGCACACAGACCAGGAGACGGACCAGTGAGCACTCCCCCATCACCATCGATGGGACTCCTGTGGAGTCAAGTTTCAAGTTTCTTCAAGTTTCTTCAAGCAGCTTCAAGTTTCTCTGCGTTCACATCACCGAGGACCTCACCTGGACTACTCACACACAGTCAGTAGTGTGGAAGGCCCACCAGCGTCTCTTCTTCCTCAGGCGACTGAAGAAATTTGGTCTGAGCTCAAAAATCCTCAGACAGTTCTACAGACATTCTAATTTATTGAGATGCACCTGTACATTGGTATTCACTCAGATTTGGCTGTTGTATTGGGCTGTACTCAGACTTACATGACACACAGTGACCCTAAAACTATTCTCAATTTTGGGAACTTAAGTCATACTTCTTATATAATGCAATGACTTTCATACATTTTTAAATGCGATTTAAGTCTCTTTTCAGACCAATTTGTATCATCACACACTGTAAGAATTCAGTGACCTTGCTTTTGACTGTGATATATAGGTGTCTGTGATAATCTAGTGTGAAAACATGTGGCAGATCTTAAATCAAGCACACTCATCAGAATAAATTTACATTTCAAATATCATGTGCATTGGAGAGATCTTTATGTGAGATGGACCACAGATGGCACTTTGGCAAGGTGATATACTGAGTTTAACACTGCACAGCCCTCATAGAGGACAACTATTAACCTTAGCCTTAGCACTTGCTAGTTCTACACATCACAGACTGTCAGAGACTATATCTTGTACTCGAAGAATAAATAAAACAATGTTTTGATCCAAATGTGTATCCTTAATATTTGTGAAGTAGCAATGCTACAATCATGGGTTTGACTCTCAAAAAATTATGTCATCATTTACTCACCTTCAAGTTGTTTGAAACCTTTCTTTTGTTGAACATGAAGATATTTTGAAGAATGTGGTTAGTCAAACAGTTGCTAGTAGCCATTAACTTCCACAGTATGGAAATAAAATACTAGTTAGCAGGGGTGTGGACCAGTGGTGTAGTCCTAAAGAAAAAAGTGGTTTACTATTACCCAGTAATATTACCCTGTTACCTAAAACAGCATAATTTATACATGCAAAACATATAGCTAATGTTATAATTTAGGAAGGGAATAATCTCCTGCAAGAGGATTTTCCAGCGAGTTTCCTATTATTTGTATGGCCATCACAAAGGTCTAAACCCTTAGGCTGGAGCTGTGCAAAATAATTTAAGGTTCTTGAACTGCACCTTCACTTCCATTTTCCCCAATATCTCTGTCCATCCCTTGCGTATATGTGTGTTTTTTTTCTTGTACCTGTCACTTCTTCACCAGCAGGTCTACCGTTATGAACAGAACTGTGTCCATCTAGTTGCAAAACAACCACCTCATTTTAATTTGTTTGCACAGAATGTTATTTATCTTAAAATGACTTAAATACCCAAGATGTAACAAACCTTTTTTTCATACAAATATATTTTTTAAAAATTGTGTTTAAGTGCCTATTTATAAAAATTAGTCCAATACCTTTATTGAAAAATCCTAATAGCCTACTGAACACACTATTGAATTGACTCATATTTTTTTTTTTTGACTCATATTTTTTTTTCAGACAGTTTTGCTGTCTGCACTCCCTCCTTACCTAAACTATAAATTCATGCGAATATCTGTCTGCTAAATGTATTAATGTAACTTTACAGTATGATGTCCTTTAGCATACAGTATTCTGACATGATAATAATGGGGTGCTCCTGATAGCCTAACAGTTGCTAGCAGTTTAATACTCAGCTAAGTTAACAGACAAAACTATAGTGACTAAGGGATTATATTTGGGGATCCGTGGCATTAATTGTTGGACAGCTGTTCTCTCTCTTACACACACAAAGACTTTATCAATAAAATAGTTTTGGGAAAGCCGGTCATAAGTGCGGCTCAAAACACCAAGCGCTAGCGACAATGAGCGGCGTTGAATGACAGAAGTGAAACTGCACCAATTACAAAGAATCACGAATTTCACACAGCAGTATGGGACACCATTAAAGGGGAAGCTACATGACAGTAGATTACGGACTTGCGAAGCAACAAAACAAGTGGGTATACCGAGGGTATACGCAAATATTGATCCTTAGAAGTCGTAATACGCAAACATCCCGGGGGAAAAAGTAAGCATACGGCGTATACTTGCGTATGGCCCCGACTAATGATCAGATCAAAGGCGTTATAGATGCGTCCCTGCAGCATTGCGCTTGACTGGCAATAAACCAGAGACTGCGTTCAGGGGGCACTGGATAGGCTAGTATAAATTACTGGAGTAATAGAATAACTTACAACAAAAGAACAGAGATAAAAAAAAAAAAAATTACATGATTCGTCTAGTAGCGACCCTGATAGCAACAGACTCCGGGGCGGATCCGCCCTCAAGTCGGCAGCTCCGCTGTACTGTCAGACTCTGTTCGGTCATTCGCCCAGAATATGCCCCGCCTCCGGACAGCGCACTGTCAGTTAGCGGACTCATTATGGACACTGCGCGGATTAGCAATCCGGACGCGTTTTTTTTTTTTTCTTTTTTTTTCTTTTACCGGTGCCGTCCAATCCTCCTCAGAGTGCTGAAGCTGCGGCCGGCTGAACACGGCAAGAACACTGTTTAAATATGCTTTATATGTACAGTTGCCAGTAACATTAAGGTTAATAAAGTAGTTGATTGCTTTGTTGGCATTTTTAATTGTGAAATTGCGTTGTGGAACGTTATCTCTTCAGCACATTAGCATTATAGTAGATTTGAGTAAAGTTAATCAGGCCTATTTAGACGGGATCTCCTTCTTTTTGTGAGACGCGCCCTGAGCGTATATGTAACGTTAGGTAATTTTTCACCCCTCTTCAGGAATAACTGCAGGCGCTGTTGGCTCTATTTTAGGTATTTTCATAGCTAGTTCTGGCCAGATTACCCATTTTAAAGAAGGTATAGACCCACTAAATGAACGGGTCCAGATCGGATCCGGTCCGGATGAGTTACTTAATCAGCGGGTGCAAGTGGTCTCCGATACGGACCCGTTTTGCGGATCCGTTCCGGAGCTTGTGGTGACTCCGGGGCGGATCTGCTCCGGAGTCATTTTGCTATCTGGGGATCTCCGCTCGTGAAAAGCGCTGCCCTGTCCGTTTGATCGCCGCCCAGCAGACACACGGAGCGGGCCTGAGAAACTTCACTGGTGCTCGCCTCATCATCACTGTGACCGCTGCTGTTAAATATTCCTCACTTCTTCTGTTTGACACCGAGGTGCACCAAGAGTGACGGATACGCATCCCGGGCATCCCACCA